CCCCAAAACCCCAAAACCCCTGAAAGCAGTCTAGCGCTTTAATTTTTTAAATCAAAATTGTAAAATTGAGAAATATTATAAAAATTTATAGCCTTAGATTTATAATAGAAAAATGATGAACAAATTATTCAGACAAAGTCATTTGGCAAATACCCTAAGAACTAAAACAATCTTTAGAAGGGAGTTCTCAACAGAAGTAAAGGATGCATTTAACAATATTCCTCAGGGAATTAAAGATCTTACTTCAAGAAAAATCTACAAAACTCACAACCACCCATTGAATACACTAATTACTAAAATTGAGGATTTCTTTTTGAACAAGAAAGTCAGTGACCTTTAAATTCCAGGAGAAAAGTTCAAACTTTTCTAGGACTTTGACCCACTAGTTAAAGTGAAAGAATGCTTTGATGACTTAGGGATTCCAGAAGACCATGTATCTAGAAGAGTCACAGATACTTACTATCATAACAAAGAGATAGTTTTAAGACCACATACATCGGTTCATCAAATCCCATTAATGAAACTACAAGGAAACAGTGCTTTTCTAGTTGTTGGAGATGTTTATCGTAAAGATACTGTTGATAAAACTCATTACCCTGCTTTCCATTAAATGGAGGGTGTGAGAACTTATTCATTAAAGGATATTGGAGCTAAGGACATCAAAGAAGCCAAGCTTATTACTGAGAGAGATTTAAAGTAAGTTCTTGAAAATCTTGCTAGAAATATATTTGGAGATGTTGAAATGAGATGGGTTGACGCTTACTTCCCTTTTACTGAACCTTCAATTGAGCTTGAGATTTTCTATAACAATGAATGGCTAGAGGTTTTAGGATGCGGGGTTATTCATAACTAAGTAATGGCGAGAGCTGGTAAGGACATCAATAATGAATGCGGCTGGGCTTTTGGCTTAGGTCTAGAGAGATGGGCAATGAAACTATTTGATATCAATGATATTAGATTGTTTTGGAGTTAAGATGATAGGTTCATTAATCAATTTAAGCATGGTGAGATCTCAAAATTCAAGCCATATTCAAAGTATCCAGCTTGCTATAAAGATATTGCTTTTTGGGTACCTTCTCCTGTATCTGATGACACTTTCAATGAGAATGACTTCTTTTACCTAGTAAGAAGCATCTCTTAAGATATGGCAGAAACTGTGGAACTCATTGACACTTTCACCCATCCAAAGAGTTAACGAGTCAGCAGATGCTACCGTATAAACTACAGAAATATGGACAGATCACTTACCAATGAAGAGGTAGATGCACTTCAAGTCAAAATTAGAGGACTTGTCGAAACAGAGCTTGGCTGTGAACTAAGATGAAAATAACTTAAATCGCTATTTAAATATCATACTTATTTCAAGATTAAATCCATTCTTAATGGGGTTTTGGGGTTTTGGGGTTTTGGGGTTTTGGGG